GATCACTCATGTTTTCACAAACACATCTAACAAAATCTACCAGGGGATGTTCATTTAAGGGCAGAACTGAGACTTATATTCAAGAACATTTTTTAGAACGTGCTTATGATTTATCAACCTTTCTACACATCAGTGTAATTTACATATGTGATGAGTGCCACTGATATTATTCATTATTCATGATGGGAGCAGGTGTTAATTTCCCAGCCTCCTTAGCATCAATCTATACCTCAAATTCTTTGATAGTTCCCGTCCACGTGCATCCCTCATTGGGACAGACAGCTGCCAAGGACTCGACTTCTCTCCGAGCTGCATTATCAGGGAAAGCCTGGATGGAAAAGCAGAGCTTATTGTCAGTGTTGTCTGGTTTGTGTCCTGAGTTACTGTCTGAAGTGTGTTGTAACAAACATTCTGCGTCAGATCACTGATGGCCAGGATCCTTGGAGCACACTTTTCTGTCCTGGCTCTAATTTCTTCAGCACATATGATCTTTCTAAGGACACGGGACTAAACTTGTTCCAGCTATTTTGTGCACTGCCAAGACTTACAGAGCGGTCACAAAGTTTCCACGCAGGGAAAGTTTTTGTTAGCTATGGACTCGTTCACATTGGATCAGAAAACAAACACAACAGTTCTAAATCTCAGGAATATTTTCAAGGGCTTTATAATGAGAAAAACTTTGGATCTTTTTAAAAACGAGATAACTTCAGTGCACACCAATGCTGAGTGTTCATCTGAAATAAAATCAGGTAAAAGAAAAAACATAAAAATATACTTACACCACCTTGCTTGAGGATAGAGGTGGGTTCTTCAAATAAGTCTTCTTTGATGCAAGCACCGCATTTCTGTGGTCCAGAACTGAAAGAGAAGAAAAACAAACATGGACATTAACAGAGATACTGTACCCATGATAAAACACCAGCAATGTGTCAGCTAACATGGATATTCAATGGAATTATAATAATAGCTAATACAAATACGGTTTAAGTTCACTCACAGTACTGTGATCAGTTAGTAACTCAAGTCCACATGTCATGGTCTTCAGTAGTGTGCCAGACCAAACCAAGTCACAACTCCATTTGCGGATAGAGACCATGAGATACAGGGTGAAAGCTCCATTTAAGGTTGTGAGCGAACTTTTAGTTGATCCTTTTCTCACATACAGGTAGAGCTCAAACAACTAATGGATAAAGTGATAAACTGATCAATTAAATAACTATGTGTCACTAGTTTTCTATTGACTAATTTCCAAGCAAAATTTATGGTGTCTCTCTCTTTTATATCAATCCACAATACAAATCTTTGGATGTGAAACTAGTGAATGTACATTGAGACTCTGATTGATATAATTATTGAGAGAGAGAGCAGGTGAACCAATAATGAAAATAATAATTTGTTGTAATCGTACATAAAATATAATCTGCTGGAGGCAGTGGCTTTATTAAATAAAAATCATGAAAATAAAGAAAGCCCAAGTGGCACTATTGTCAGAAATACCATTTACACTTACACTTCACCTTTTGCACACTTTATCTTTTAAATTTTAATATTACTCTTCCCATCACTCTACACGAAATAACCCGTATTGACAGAGTAAAACGTGTTTTCTTATAAATTAAAACTAAAAATATCTAATTTACCAAAAAGGATTCAGTCACTTGTAGAATCTCATTGGCAGCATTTAAAGCTTTCAGTCCTCTAAGTTAAGTCTTCAGCTCTACACAGTTGGATTTGTGCTCTTTGTGATCCTCTCACACTCAGTAAGACTGGAGGAGAAGTGTCTGTGAGCTGCATCTTCAGGTCTCTGCACAGATGTTCTATGTGGTTGAAGTCTGGACTTTGTCTGGGACGCTCATGGACACTCCAGTGTCTCCACGTTCACTCTGGAGCAGATTTTCTTCAAGGACCTCGCTGTATTTGGCTGCATTCATCTTTGACTCAGTTCTGACCAGTCTCCTTGTCCCTGCAGCTGAGAAGCTCCCCCATAGAGATGGTGGCCTGATTGCTGGAGTGACATTTCGAGGATCATACCTGATGAGAACTTCTGAGGCTCTGTCAGAGTGACCATTGGGTTCTTGGTCACACCCCCTGACTAAGGCTTTTGATAGCTTTACTTTGTTTAGTATGACAGCCAACTCCAGGAGGACTGAAACTTAGGAAATGTTTATTTTATTCTCTCATCTATGCCTCATTCGATAGCTGAAGGTAAGACAGAGATCCGTGGACCTCCTGACATGTAGCGTGAATGAAGGGACTTTATAAACTCAGGTGGGAGCCTTTTAGTTTGTCACAGGTGGACACCAGTCACACCCCAATGAAAAATGAAGCAAACAGATCACACCAGCAGAGGGTGTGGCAGCAACGTGCCTATTGTTCTCAGAGGTTAGATTTTTAAATATATAAAAATTAAAGCAACTGGAAAATAGACTTTATTATACTGGTCAATGATCCAACACACATGTGCACAGTAAGAGATAAAACCCGTGATCTCACCACCAAGCCTGTCTTATGACTGAGCCTTTCAGTCCAGACACAACCATCATCTCCTCACTTCTGCATCATCACAAACAATGAAAGAAGCTCAGTTGTGTTATTGTCATTCTCATACAGAAACCTGTATTGTAAAAAGCACACGTATACATTTACTGATCCTTGCCAGGTCACGTCACCTGACATATGGAAGTCATCCTAAAATCAAAAAAAAGACCCAATTTAATGTTGGCTCTCTCACACACACAGAGATCTGGGTTATCACTTTATTACAACACGGTGTCGTGATCAACTTGTGGAGATGTCCACTGTCTGCTCCGGTCAGTTACAGCAGAGGTTAGCGGGTCTTGCCTATGAGGACAGCAGGAAACCCCATCACACAAACTGAGATTTTACTGGGAGAAAGGGCTGGCCGGTGATTAACATGCATGCCGAATGTTGCAGTAAATCTTCGAAATATATATCGTCTCTTCCTATAACGTGAGCTGCGGCGATGAGCGGCGCACCGTTAAATGAAGAGATATCTGAAGGTTGTTTGGTGCCGAGCTCTGGCTGCTACACACACCCAGCTAGCGTGCTAGCAGCCATGAGTAGCACTCACCTCACTATCTTGTTGAAGCAGAAGGAGCAGAAGCGATGGCCGCACTGGGCTTGCAGGGGTCTCCTCAGGACTTTGTGGCACGAGTTGCACAGATGCTTGTCTTCGAGGCCGTTGGCCAGGATTTTCTTCGGGAAGCCCGGTCTGATGCCTTCCAGGGAAGATGGTGGAGACGGTTCCTGAGCAGCCATTATTTCCCCTGAACAATATCGGGGTACTCGGTGGGGTGTGTTCAGCCCAGCACACACCGATCACTGTGGGTTTTAGAGTTCAAGACTCATCGCCGTGTGTTTGATTTAATCTACCGGGGGTCTCCCGCCGATGCCATGTGGCGGATGTTCATTTGATTGAAGACACACCAGGCGTTTGTGCGATGTGACAAAAAGTGACAGCTAAGGATGAGGATGCTGCGTCCACCTACAGGCTCTGTCTGCCACTAGGGGCCGCTAGAGCACCCTGAACTTGAAGTTCACAACCATCACAACTAAATAGAAATATCATCATCACCACTAAATAGAAATATCATCATCAACTCAAGTAAATAGAAATATCATCATCACAAGTAAATATAAATATCATCATCACCAGTAAATAGAAATATCATCATCACAAGTAAATATAAATATCATCATCACCACTAAATAGAAATATCATCATAACAAGTAAATATAAATATCATCATCACCAGTAAATAGAAATATCATCATCACAAGTAAATATGAATATCATCATCACAACTAAATATAAATATCATCATCACAACTAAATACAAATATAAATACCATCATCACAACTAAATAGAAATATCATCATCACAACTGAATACAAATATGAATATCATCATCACAAGTAAATAAAAATATCATCATCACAACTAAATATAAATATCATCATCAAAACTAAATACAAATAAAAATATCATCATCACAACTAAATATAAATATCATCATCAAAACTTAATACAAATATAAATATCATCATCACAAATAAATTCAGTTAAACATGTGAATACCTGATTGCGGAATGCACACAAAAATAACTTTCTCTACTTGTATGAGCTCTCCTCCACATCAGAGCCCTCTCCTAGAAACTTCGAAAAAACATGAAATTGCATTTCATACAAGACACAGATCTTACAATTTCACCCCTTGGCCCTTCCTCTCTGTTTTAATCTGCCTTCATTATATATTTGGGTGAAACAGCGCCCTCCACAGGCCGCAGCGGCAGGATACAACCTAGTGTAAATCTAACTAAAGTTCAGTGAAGTTACACAGAGTTGGTTGGTTGACTGCACAGCTTTCACTTTTAGCTTTACTCCATACTCAAAAGGTTCATATCAGTATAAAAATGAAATAAGTTAATGATGAAATACATCACAAAGATATAGAAAACAATCATCACACTTAACAAGTAGGTTAAAAACACCTACAGACTTTATACCAGTGTTGACAAAAACAAGATGAGTTCATTGTGTGACTCAGTGTTGTCTCGGATAAGGCCCTTATGATCATGTGTTTTGAGTCACTTTTTCAGAAGTTGTTTGCTCGTGCATAGTTTACAGCACTGACGCTGTACATTGTCATCATTGCATAAATCCTCCCTGATGCTGTCACCCAGATATTTTACTTTTAGGGCTTGTTCTGCCATAAGGAATGAAAAGCTTGTGTTGATAACTGTTTTGGATTTGGATTCATTTACTTGAATACACCTGTTAATGGTCTTACTCTGAGCATGGATGGGTGGGGGGTATGATTATTATAGCTTTTATCCTGTAAACACTTGGTTTTAAATTGCTTGTATCAAAAATGCTATACAAATTAAGATTATATTGATTGATTGATTGTAACATCTACATTTTTGTAACTGTCATGATACAACATCAAAGTTTTTTTATTTATTTCTTGTGAAGGTACACACATATAATCAACCTACTTGTCACAGTAAGTAGTAATTAAGTAAAAGGCAGTTTGACTCTGTCACTCTGGTTCACTCTGTTCAACACCAGGGATTTTTCATTCTGAAATAAGGCGGAACATTGATAGATGGTTCAGTGGGATCGTACTGGACAGAGTGGTGTTTAGCATTGTTGGGGGTGGCTGAGGGGTAGAGCGGTTATCCTCCAACCAGATGATCAGCAGTTCAATCCCAGTCTTCCCCAATTGCATGCAGAAGTGACCTTGGGCAAGATGATGCTGAACCATAGAACAAAAAGTGCTGTTAATAGATGCACTGTGTGAATGGGTGAATGGAAAACTGTACTGTAAAGCACCTTGAGTGGCCATAAAAACTAGAAAAGCTCTATGTAACTACAAACCATTTACTGTGAGCTAATTTAGCAGGGATGTGCTATTTTGTTTGTTTAAAGGATCCCTACTTGTTAATGCAATAGCAACCAGCTAATCGTTCTGGGGTCCACACCTAACATATAGTGCATAACACATCACATGTCAAACATTTATTTAATTACATTTATATACATGAATTTACATCACAGCTTACATTTATATACAATTCAGACCACCATACGTACATTTGAATAGAAAACCCCAAAAGTCTATGTAAATGATATTGTATTATTTGTGTAGACACCAGATTTGAAATATTAAAAAGTATAAACACTGACCCTGCCACAACCATGATGCTGAGTTCTGTAGTGACTTCCCAGAATTCTTTGAAGGGCGTGACTGACAGCTTATCGGACCGATACAAAAGCAGCAGACACAATCCCCGCCCCCTGAACGTTTCCCCTGTTACCGTAATAACCAGACAGAAGAAAAACCGAAGCGCAAAGAAAATCGTGCTTATTCAAAAATAAGAAACACCAACTCAAAGAGAGCAAATGCAAGCAGTGATTTTGAATGGGAATCACATTCGTTTGCATTTCACATTGTGGTTCTTCGTTATGTGTTTCTAATGGCTTGGATTTGCAGTTTAGCTTGACTGGTTTGCATTTCCACATTTTCAGATTTGTTCCCCATCAGAATAAGAATATTTAAGCCCATATGTATCATCGGGAAGCAGACTGTGTTGAATGGACTCCATGAATTGGACCACTGGAGCAGCAGCAAGTTAGCAACACTTAGTATAATCCCGGAAATGTTGTAATTTTATTTTCAAAAAAAAAGGCTGTGTTTGTTTCTAGTTTCACGATGTGTCCTTCAGAATCTGGATTATGCCAAATAACCATATCAGTCTTAAATGATGGCTGTTTACATGTGCATGTCATGTACCGATGCTCATTAACATGCTCTGTCCCTGTCAAATAAATAAATACACACTGACATTGTGTTTTTTGGAGATGCTGTACAATAAGGTAGATACAATTACCACAATGTCCAGTTAGTAGAAGAAGAAGAAGAAAAAGACATACTTTATTGATCCCCCCCCAAGGGGGAAATTCTTTTTACAGTCACACATTTTTATTTATACATGCAGTTTTTAACCCACAATCCCCCACACACACAAAGGGCTCATACTATGAGCTATTGTGTGTGTGTGGGATTGTGGGTTTGTGGGTTACTCACTCTACCATCTTTATTTGCATGTCTATAGACATGCAAATATGGAGAGAGATGGTAGAGTGATGGGCAGACCCGGGGAAGCGCCCTGCGAGCAAGTGTTGGGTTTGGTGCCTTGCTCAAGGGCAAGGCCTCTCCAGCTACCAGTCCACCTTCCATACTTTTAGTCCATGCTGGACTTGAACCGGCCACCCTCCTTGTCGCTGTCGTGGAGCTTTTTACTCCATCATATGATCCCTACAAGCAGACAGAGTTCCCGTTATGGAACTTATATAATGAATACATCTTTTATTGTATGACGGAGGTGATCACAGCTGGATACCTGAGAACCTTGCAAACTAAACAAAACACTGAAAATAATATGTCATAGAAAATGTGTGACATAAACGTCCCCAAAACACCCTGATCAAATACTGTGTGTGTGTGTGTGTGTGTGTGTGTGTGTGTGTGTGTGTGTGTGTGTGTGTGTGTGTGTGTGTGTGTGTGTCTGTGTGTGTGTGTGTGTGTGTGTGTGTGTGTGTGTGTGAGGGGATCGTGATCTCGTTGGCTCTGAAACACTTGCTTTATTGTGAAAGTGTTTACGGAAGTGAAGCGTCTCTGTGTGACGCTCCACGGAGGATCGGGAGCTGCTCTCTGTTGCAGAGGAATGTCGCTGCTGTGTGTGTCTGTGTGTGTGTGTGTGCGCGTGTGTGTCGGGACCACAGACTGGATGGAGGTCTGACAGACGCTTCTGAGTAGAAGATGTCGGGATTGCAGTTTGCTGTCACGTCAGAGAACCGTGAGTAGCTGTCGGTGGCGATGATGTCAGCTAGAGGAGCAGACCCGCCGTCAAATGTCAGTGAGCGTAGAGGAGGAAGCTAAGCTAATATCTGCTGGGCAGCTAGCTAAAGAGAGCCGAAGGATAACGTTACCTTTTCAGCAGGGCAGGTCACTCACCGGGCTGCCTCGTCTCTGTTAGAAGCCTGTGTCGACCTTGAAGTACCCGTTAGCTGATATGACTCCAGCGTTTTAGTGATTATTGCTTCTGAAATATAGAAACAGCTCTCCTAACTGCGGCTCATAGCATGCGCAGCTAATGCTAGCTGGATAACGTTAAAGGGAAATTTCACAGTGTTGTTGTTCCAGTGTTTCATTCGGCTGGCTTCTCTCTCAGTTCTAAGACAGACACAATGTACAGATGATGCAAACAGGAGACACGTCCCCACGGTGAAGAATGTCACATGCTCTGCTGCACACGTATCTCTAATACGACGCTAATATTTTTCACTTGTCATCATACGAGCCTGTCACACACGAGTCTCTCTGAGAGAAGTACCACCTGACCACATCCTCAGATGTCGCCATAGTTTGTGACAGTCATGCTTGATCAACGTGTTTGAGGCACAGAGCTGAATATCAGATTTTCATTTCGTTCGAAGCGCAAGAACATCGTTTGGCCTCACCTGCAGCAGGAGATCTGAACAGATCCCTGAGACCCATCAGACAAACTGTTCCCTGTCAACTGGGAAACATAAGGGCTTACTCCTTTTGAGTCACATGACAAAGATTAAAACGTGTGATATATGAGAGTGTGCAATTCCTCAATGTAGAGCACCAACCAAACATATTTTAATCATCAATCAGTTACTTTGCAGATTATTTTTATTACAGTTTGGTCAGTGAAATGTGATCCAGCCTCTTCTAATGCTGTCTTTGTCGGACTGATGATCCTAAATATTCTCTTTACTATAATGCAAATCATTTGTTTAGTGTGTTTCTAGGTGATGGTAAATAGTTGCATCCATATGGTTTAAAGACTCCTTGAAGTATCTGGCTTTACATTCATATACAGAGCAGCAGTATAAACATGTTTTAGTGTTTTCTAATGTACAATTATTTTTGCAGAAAATGTGATGTTCAGCTCTCTGACTCTGTGACATGACAGCATCAGTCTGGAGCTACACAAAATCAAGTAATCGTGGTGTGACTTCCACCTTAGAGAATCAATTTGTCTTTCTCAGTATTTATGAATTGAAATTGCCAGAATATGTGGAACATGTGAGTAAACTAACAGTGTCCTTTTACGTTACCGGATCTGGCATTACATTTTTGGTCACATTTTATTGAGGACATGATGATGTGTTGGCTTATGTGTTTGTTAATATCATGCCCTCGCCCTGAAAGGGAATGGCCTTTGATTCCCAAACATAACATCTATATTTTTTTTATTGTTGTTTTTTTCTTTATAGATGATGCTTATAACAACATGGTAGTTCCTTCCACTGCTGACTGTCAAGCAAGAACAATCGTCCAGGTCTAAGGAAACAGCTGCTTCATTCAGAGACAATACTGAGTAATTCGGCATCAGATTTGCTTCTAAGCATGGACCCTTAAATTCCTCAGCTATCAGCACACACTGGTACTCTATACCGTCAGTTGTGGTGTGACAAATTGTTCGGGGAGTTCCACTTTACTATCGCTCGTTTCTGTACAAGCTTGTGAAGCGTCGTGAAGATGTTTTCTGCGCTGAAGAAGCTGGTGGGATCTGAGCCAGGCCAGCTCAGGGACAAGAATATTCCAGCTGGCCTGCAGTCGATGAACCAAAGTCTGCAGAGGCGCTTCGCCAAGGGGGTTCAGTATAATAGTAAGTAGTAGTTGCAGGCTTCAGCAGTAAAGAATGTCTTTCCCTTTTGTTAATATCAAATTAACTGTCTCCCAAAAATATGAATGAATCATCTTTTTCCCACTCAAAGTGAAAATAGTCATCCGGGGTGATAGAAACACTGGAAAGAGTACTTTATGGCATCGACTGCAGGGCAAGAAGTTTGTGGAGGACTACATACCCACTCAGGAGATCCAAGCCACAAGCATCCATTGGAATTACAAAAGTAAGTTGTAACATGATGTAACATTTGACTTGTTTTATCTCCTCACCACTGCTTTGGTTGCATTTCTATTCTGGTTTGTATTTGACATCCTCTGTTTGTGCGTTGGTGATTTATTCCAGTGGCTCCATATCAAGGTAAAAAGGAGACTGCATTTGGATTTAGCTAACCTATTTTTAGAGTAGGTGTGTATTTGTGTTAGTACGTCCATACCAAGCAAACCTTTTTCCAACACTTATTCTTGTAGATTTATAGTTACTGGATCCTTATTAGTGTCACTTAACAGCCTCTGTGTATTAATGCTTTTACTCTGTGGCCCTAGAACATGAATAATGAAAACACATGTTCTGTTTCTCTCAGCTACTGATGATGTGGTCAAGGTGGAGGTTTGGGACGTGGTGGACAAAGGTGAGTGTGAGACACTTGAGGCTGACCTTGCTTTAAGAAGTAACACCCCTTACTTGTCCACCTGTTTCAGTATTTCATGACATCAAATAGATGCCTTTTTTTTGTCCTCAGTGTTGACGTTGTCTTATGTTTTTTTGCACTCATCTCAGGCCAAAAATATCCTCTTCCTGAAGGTGTAGGTGAGCGCCACTATAGTGTGTAGAAACTAAACTTGATTGTGTGCTGTGGGCTTGCCCTGCCTAGTTTTCTCTTATCTGAAAGTCAATATTCTCAAGGTTTGACTTTTTCCACGTTTGCTGTGTGGCTACATGCCAGTGCGTCTTTTTTTGCGCTTTGTATATAGAGAGCATAGAAGTCTGCACAGTGTGAGCCAGCAGCCAGTATTTAGAGGATAAAGTGTGTTGGAATTAAGCTGAAAGTGGCTTTTTCCATAAGAAAAGCTCTTGTGCTGCTCTGCTTACTCAACTCATCATAAAGTAACCAAAAACAAACTAAGCCATGATTGTGATGCTTATTTCTTCACCAGCTCAATTAAATGTAATTCTTCTTTCAGGAAAAGGCAAGAGGCGAGGAGACAACTTGAAACTGGAGAATGAGCCCCAAGAGGTGACTATCACATGACTGTCATGTGTTCAGGCAAAAAAGGCTCACTTAAAGTATGTGGGTCAGTAATGGAATTAACCAAAGAGCCCTTATTGGATCTAAACAATAATATAAGTTGTCAAAACAAAAGTATAATGTTTCCTTGTATGTATTTTGTGATTAATCCAGTTTGCATAATAAGAATATATATCTGTGTTGTAGTCAGATGAGGTGGCCCTGGATGCCGAGTTCCTGGACGTATACAAGAACTGCAATGGAGTCATCATGATGTTTGACATTACCAAGCAGTGGTAAGACTCGTCTGTCGGAACTGTTGTTCCACTACTGTCTCATCAGTGAGCCCTAATGCTACAATATGCATGGACAGATCAGGTTTCAGTGGCTGTGAAGCTCAGAGCCTCCAGTGGTGCGTTGTCTTCAGCTTCAAAGGCAAAACCTTTAAAAGGCATTTCAGCGTTCCTATTTTAAGCATCCTGCAATACAGGATGAGATTTTTTTTTATCCGCTTGCATGTCTTACCACAAGAGACATACGACAATGGTTAATTCAATATATTTGTTTCCATGTGTATTTTACTATATATATTCGAAAATATTTCAATAATTCAGCACATATTCTTTCTGCTATTTACACTTTGCGATCAAATGTTTTTATTGTGAATAAAATGCAA